AAAAAAAAAAAAATGAAAGTGAGGCAGGATGAAGGAGCTGTGCGGTCTTGTCCTTTAAAGGGCTACCGCCGCCTGAGCGTGGACATCGAGGCCATGCGAGACACACGTAGGGAAGTCCGGGACAAGTGGAGGACCATCTTGGAGAACCTTGGTGAGTCCCATCTTTTCTCTTCAGAACCGCATGTTCACTAGTTTTGTGTAAAGTGCAGTGGTGCTTTGAAGTACAAGTGACCCAACGCGAGAGGATACAAGCCAATACGCCAACAGGCAATCACAAACTTGAGATACTAACTGGACATTTTAAATACACAAAAGTATAAAACTTGTGTCTTGAAACAACTCCATAGATTTGAACACAGTGGATGGGTGGTGAGTTTGGGAGTTGGGCCTTCAGTAGGGACAGAAGTAACTTAATCCACTTTACATCATCGCAATAAAAATGTACAAAAATGCGATATCACACTGCATGGCATTGAAGAAGAGGCAGAGGCATTTCGCGTATCAAGAAACACTGTTACCTTTATTTTTACATATTTAACACCTCCAAACGTCTCTACACTACAATATAGATAGCAGTTCAACCAACAATATTTTTCAGTGTAAAAACTTGAAACGAGCCAGACAGCCACATTGTTGGTTGACCTAATCTCATAAATTTCACATTTTCTTGAAAAGTGTGCCTTGAAAATGAATCTCAAATCATGTACAACATCATCCTCCCTTGGAAATCAATATTTGGTACGCATTTTAAGTTCAACCAGTCTGAGGAATAAGCATAGCTGAACGAATCAGAGGATGGAAAATGGCAACATCAGTCTGAGGATTTCTGAGAGTCCAGAGTGGGTAATCGAAAATCTGAAACCGTTTAAAAAAAGAAACTGTTTCAATGGTGTGTATGTATGTATGAGTGTGTGTGTGTGTGTGTGTGTGTGTGTGTGTGTAGGGGGGGTATTTTATTATCTTTGTTTGATGTTTATTTTGACACTAAGCTTGAAATGTGACTGTCAATGATATAGCTTGAAGCCTCTTTTTTTTTTTTTTGAAGAATCTGTCAAGCTACTTGTCAAGTAAATTGAGTAGGGCTCACTGCCATCATACAGCGCTTTTTATCTCAAGTCAGCCGCACTCGTATCTCATGGCACAGCTGTATTTGCACTTGTACTCCCATTGCATTCCAAAACCGAAGTTTACCATGGACGTCGTCTTCCAGGCTTCATGGCCGAGGCCGACTCGCTGCTGACCGTGTCGGCCGGCGCCTCGCTGGACCGCATGCGCAATGCCGCGGCAGCGCGCTCTCTCCTACAGACGCTCCACACCGAGACATCGCTCTTTAGCAGCAGGGAGCTGCCGCCGGAGAGATACCTCTTCATTCTGGTGAGAAGGCTGAAAAGTGTCCCATCACATACACTTTCGAATTGCTCTGCACTGTGGTGTTGTCAAAATAACCTACCGCGACCGGCAATTCATCATGGTTTTCTCCCTTCAAAATAGTCTGAGCTAGTTATTTCAGAGCCGCGTTAACCGCGCTGTGTTAAACGCATCATCAGTGTAGACCCTCCAGCAAATTAAAGTTATTCTGCAATAAAGAGTGGGCCACAACACTTAAATTTCATGTAGGATAAATGTCACACAGTCCATCCTATCAGGGTCCTCTTTTGCCCCCCCGCAACTATATTTCGACAATACACTTCACCGCTCCCAACTTTTTGACCTTCCCGGCCAGGATCGCTTGCTGTACCTGGACATCGCCGAGGACTTTGTGGCCAAGGCCAGGCGCTTCTTCCCGCCCCGGGACAACTCGGACGATGAGGACGAGCCTTCCGGCGCCATCAACCTTCCGCTGCTGCTGGCCCGCGTGGAGGCCATGAACGGCGGCCTTAACGATGACGACAGTGGGGGGAGTCTGGAGAAGCCCTGAAGGGTTGTAGTACCTCCAGACACCCGGCAGGGGGCGGCATACTTCAAGGTTAAATATTCGCTGTAAGGTTGATAATCATCAGGGCGTCCTATGAGCATCACATGACTAGACAACCAGTTGCCTATCCAAACAGCTGACTCGCTCAAGTATGTTTGGAGAATAGAAACAAGTCAACTGTTTGCACGCTGCTCTCTGTCTTTGGCCTGTTCACAATGATAACAAATAAAAGTTGCAAGCCTTTCGGAGTCCATCCTGAGTCCGCGTCACATGCTGTCAGCGGGTTATTTGGAGTTCAGCGGAGTGATTTAAAGGAAATGCTTTTGGCGTCGACACATGCTTGTGCACGTGGGCCCAGTTGGCGGGGACACGCCGCTCCGCCAGGCATGCCGCAAATCCCGGGGCCCGGCGTGGGGCGCCATCCGGTGTCTGGTGGTCCTGCCGGGGAGCCGGGCATGTTTTGGTGCTCAGCTGTTGCTACTGCTTGTTGTTGTTGTGGTTGTTAAGTTACAGGTCAAGAGCTCAAGGTCATGTTTGCGCAATACAAGAGAGATGATTATGACTTGGGTATGGGGGGAGGAAAATCAGCTTTGATAGCCTAATGTGAAAAGTGCTGTTGTTACTGACTAGTGCTGTTTTGTTTTTGACGTCATTATTCGGAAAAAAGAACGGCACGGTGATCACTTTGAGTCACTAGTGGCTTCGGTTTAACAGGATTAACAGCTGATTCTACCATCATAGCCATGCTGTGTGTGCGCGCGTTTGTCTGTGTATGTGTTACAAGCTGTCATTACCCAATGCAGACGAGTGAGTCACTTGCGTAACATCACACCAGCAGACGACTTTCCAAAGGCGAGCGCTTCCCGGGCGGCGTAACCCGAGTGCGCAGCGTGGCGCTCTTGTCACTGAGGTGACGAATCCGTGGATGCGGCGACCGTGAGGCAGCGGGCCGTAACGAGGAGGCTTGATGGCGTCACGCGGCGCTGCATCAGCGCAAAAGAAAGAAGTTGGCTAACAATTTAATGCAAAATAAAATTGTATTCAATTCATTAGTGGAATAATCGTTTCTAAAAATATTTTGTCGTTGCTTGCCTCGGGCCCCGACTGGATGTTACCATCTGCCCTGATTTGAACTTTTATCCCTCAAGTCCACCAACATTTTCCAATAATCTTACAATCTCATTTATGGCGACCAGCTTCAGCTTTTTAGCCCATCCAAAACCAATCTACATCTCGCTCTGCTGGGTCAATGAATTAACCCAAGTTACGAGTTGGCTACGAAAACAAACTAACATCTTTTAATTTAGCGCGTAAGTCATGAGTCTTTCGGATCAAGTCCAAGTGCGGCACGGGCACCCGCAGCGGCTCCTCTCCCTCCCGAGGAAAGACATTTCATCTGTGCTGTATGTTGCACATGTAGCACATTTAACACTAAAATTGACTTGAACTTGAACTTGAAGTGGTCGAGAAGTTCTTAAGTGAGTGTCCAAATGGTGCCTTTGACCCGAACTCGGGAGTCAAGTTTTAAAGGCTCAAAGGCTTAAAAGGTGCTGTAGCGTTTGAAAAGAAGCTATGCCAGTCATCGACTGTTTCCACATAAGCCATGGCTCACTCACTGTGCATCAAGACCAAATCCAGATCAACATTCCTCTTTGTCCAAGCCTTTTGTGTTTGTGTGTGGTTACACAATCCATATCCAGCGTGTACGGCACAGCTGATATGGAAAATGTCGGTCCAACGACCATTCGGGAGGGGATTTTTCCTGTCAATTAGTCTCTGCAGAGGAGTTTCGCGGCAGCTCCCAGAACACATCGGTGTCCGGTGTCGGCGCTAGGCCGATTGTCCGCTGACAACACATGTCCGAAATAGCAACAGTGCGTCCATAAAGGCGGTGGCGCGACTTCAGCCCCTGACACAGCAGGACGCCGAGAGACGCAGAGAAGTCCAGCTGGAGTATCGCCACGCTTGCTTTTAAAATCCATCACAGTTGATCTGAGACTCAGGAAGAAGATGCCGGTGTGTACCATCGTGGAGAAATGTAACGGCTTGGTGGCGGGAGCTGAGCTGGCATGCAGCGTCCGGGAAGAGAATAAGGCGCAGAGGGAGAGCTACTGGGCTGACTGGAAGAGCATCAGCCTCAAGACTCAACCTGAAGAACGGTGAGGAATGGCTTTGAATGCTTCTTCCTTTTCCAAAAAAATTCAGGAAAAGTTTTATGGGATGGATGGATGAATGTATTTTCAAAAATTCCCCAGAATTTTGCGTACGGGTTTTGTAGGAGTCCTGACATCGTAGACGGATGACTGATGCTAAACTGTGAAAGGTTTCTGCCTACGTTTCAGTTTGAGGATTCACAAACAGACCTGTCGGTCATACGAGGACGTGCAAAAAAATTGTCAAGAACCAAAAATAAACAGTTCTTTGTAAAATCTCAGTGTGCGACTTGTCTTGAAATGTGCACCAGTGTGAGATGATAGTTTTCCAAGGGTTTTTTTCCAAATCTTTCTAATTTCTTCAGATGTACCTGTCGCCTTATTTTGATCGTTATTTTTAAGCATTCGGCATGTAAGGTTCATATTTGCTTGATGCCCGCAGGAAGACGATGAACATGAACGACGACTCTCGCAAGGAGACCCTCAGCCGGCAGTGGAAGTCCTCCCCCTTAACCCAGTTTTGCCCGTCCGGCGTCCTCCGCGTGGGCACCGTGGAGCGCGGCGTGAGGGAGCACCAGCTGCTGCCCAAGCGACACACCCTGCCATTGCCCATCTTCACACCCGCCGAGCTCGGCGTCCGGCTGGGCCGCGGCGCCCCGCATACCCCCGAGGACTTGCGGTCCTTCCCCTTGGCAGACGGCGCCTGCCCGACCAAGAGGAGCGTGACCGAGATCACGCGGGACCTGCCGCCCGTCAAGCCCACACTCATGGAGTTCTCCAAGGCGCCCAAAGCCTTTGGGCGCTCCATGTCCCAGGAGGCCCAGAGAGGGTGAAGCAAATATGGACGACGGGGTGGATGATGAACGTGCATGCACTTGCGGCATCCTAAACTGACTGTTTGTTTCTGATTTGTAGCACTGGCTATTGAGGCCAGTACAGCAAACAAAGACTTGATAGTGCTTTAACTGGGATAGAGGGATGTAATCATAAGTATGGACTGCACTTTACTAACCGGAAGGAAGCGTCAAATCAAACACTAATTTTACACTGAAAACATTTCAAGGCACATCTCACACACAGACACATCCAAAAAAATTTCAGTCCAATTAGACACAGCTTAATTCTGACTGGGACGGAAAAGCTTTGGAAGGGAAAAATCAAGTGTGAGAAGGACGCAAGAGCAAGTGGTTCTGGAAACACTTGTGCATGACATAGTGTACATAGGAACGTTATTTGTGTGTCTTCTGTGTTTGTCCTTTCACTCGGTGGATGCTCTTTATAGATGAGCTGAGAGTAAAAATGTACATGTTTGAATTTGTGTTTTTCATAATAAAATCTGAGCTGCTATTCACTCTTGTCTTGCAGCGTCGTGAATATGTATTTTTTCATAAATACAAGTAGACCACAATTCTCAAACTGACCTTCTTTCTCCTATATGGATGCACAGCGATACTGAAGCAGATACGTTTAAAATGAACCCTCAAAGCTCTTGTGTGTTATTAATTGACAAAGACAAAAAAGACATTTGTGAAAAATAATTGAATAATGGTTACATAAAAATAAAGTTCTATAGTATGATATGATCGAAAACTAGATGACGTATGCGTAACCGGAAGATCATCGCGGGGGAGGCGGAAGAACACCTTGACCTAACAACGACCCGTTGGGGCGTAGTGATCCATTGTACTCTACACTCGTTCAGGAACGAGAGCACACAGCTTTGACTTCACGTAAGTGTAAATTGTGTCAGTAATTAAGACTTTCAAAATAACCCTAAATTTAGTAAAGTAGCAAGTGAGTTTGTCATTTCTGAGTTTGGGGTGTGGGAGCCATTTCTGTTAAGATAGCTCACGGTTAAAAAAAATAATATAAAACAATCCATTCCACACTTCTGAAACATTTCAAACTATTCAAAATTGCAGAGATTCGCAATATTCAAAATCTTCAAAACCACTGTCCACATTCCACAAATGCCCACTTTTTCCTAAATTCTACATTTTCAACCTCAAAAAATCCCATTCAGGTGAATGACACCAAAAAAAAAAAAAAGCCCACTGCCTCCATTTCAAATTTACCTCATTCAGAACATCTTGAGCGCTATTTTATCGAAATTCCCAAATGAAGAAAATTTCTACAGCGTTAACCGCTCCTTCCACATTTCTCCATCGATTCAAACCATTCCACTTCCACATTTCAACATCCCAGTAAACCCCACAGCATATCATTTCAATTCAACTTCAACTTTTAAGCAATCACAGATTGTGCCGATTACATTTTGTAGTTATACAAATGGCCTCTTCTAACTTGAAGTGCTATTTTTAATTTGAACCGCAAACAGAAAGGGCCAAAAGAATAAATAGAGCCGAGTGTGCTCAACTGAGCCAAGTGAGTTTTGTCAGTTCGAGCTGAATGGACCCATTTAAAGTTATTTTAAGAGGCGGCCATGCAAATAGAACTGAAACAAATATGGTGCCTTTTTTTTTTTTAGTTGGCGACATACAGTATTGCAGCGTGAACGTGTCCTACCTCCACCCACGGCTCAATATTTCTGAACAATGGGTGTTAACGAATTAATGAGAGAGCTTCTTCCATTGCCTGGCTGCTGCTCTTCCTCCGCTCTGTGGTATTAATAGCCGGGTAAACTAAACACTGGCATGCTATCGCCGTGTTCTAACCCCTTGGAGCTCTTAATCCTGCTGCGTTATCAGGGGTCTCAATGTGCTCCCCTCTCTTGAAATGAGCCCCAGCACACACACAGACAATGCGGCGGCACGGCTAACCACGGACCCAGTGGATGCGAGGCCACATGGAGAGGACATGTGTCATTTCATCAGTTGATTTTGATACTTGCACTTATTAGTCATCATGTGACCGACTGGCGACCAGTTCCGGGTGTCATCTGCCTTTCGCTTGAATTTCGACCTTGTTCAGGATAAATTGTGTTGAAATTAGATGGATGGATTGATAATCAGTAATCAGTAAAACTCATGGGTAATTTTTACCCCTTCCAAATCGTGACCCATCATGACGGGTCAAATTCTCAACCCAGTTCATTGGGTATAAATAACATAGCACTGGCTTGGTCCCTGAGCTGTTTCACTCAATTTGGGTTACTTTTGTCTTGTCCATTTTAAGAATGTGAGGTACATCCTGAGCAGCCAATCGCGAGGCACATATAGACAAACACTGACAATCCTGCAAAAAGCCAATGTAGAGTTTTCAATGAACATAACATTCAGTTGTTTTTTGTTTGTTTTTTTGCAGTATGGGAGGAAGCCTTGGACAACACCTGAGCAGGCAAAAGGATACAAACATGCAAACACCACAAGTTTCCAACCACCAATGTCCGAGATGAGAGGCAGGTTCTCGAACCACTCACCACATGAGCTTTACTTTTAATTTATATTTAAATTGACAATTATTTTAATATTGAATATAACATTACTTAGAATTCACAATAAATTAACCAGCAATATAATGCTCCTATTTCCAATTTTAATCACATCAACTGTTTAAAGAGATAAATGTATCTATTTATAATTTATTAATCATTTATTTAATACAAATTAACCATCTTCAATTTATATGAAATTGTTTTTTTATTTTTTTATTTCACAAAACGCTAAATTAACCAATTATTTCCTTTTAAACATGTTAAATTGATTTTTATTTTATTTAAAAAATATAATAAAATAATAAAATACTTCAACAGCTCAATTTTTTTACAACACTATGAACCACGCCATTTTCGCGAAACCATACAAAATTGATGCAACAAAATGTATAGGTCTTGAAAATTAGTGGCCTCTGGGCCATACATTGTCCATACCTGGTCTATAATGGCCACAACCTTAGGCACACCTGCACAATATTTGGACAGATATGTTTGTGATTGTAGTTGTTCTCTAAAACGGATGACATGATGCTGACAGCTGTCCCTAATATTTTGACTCTGGGTCGAAACAGCGGCAGCAGAATAGCACTGTACGTCTTTACCTTACTACCCTCTACTGGTCAATTTGGGGTAATGCACAGTGGAATTTAAAATTCAGTCCTACTATGGCCGAATAATAGTACTGTAATATTCGATTAATTTAGAACATACTACTATTGGTGATATAGTCTCTCTCTCTCTTCTCTCTCTCTCTCTCTCTCTCTCTCTCTCTCTCTCTCTCTCTCTCTCTCTCTCTCTCTCTCTCTCTCGCTCTCGCTCTCTCTCAATTGACATGCATGCATGCAGCCACATGAGCTCATTTGTTGTGTTTACACACTCGTTCAAAATGATTTTCTGCCTCAATCAACTGAGTCGTCCAGGCTACAGGTCACATGAATGGTGGAAAAAGTTTGCTCATCATTGAGAACACTCTTGGTCCCATTGTAGTAATCAATTAGAATGTCCAAAATCAATCGGTGTGTACTCATGTGAATTTTCCTTGTGAATTCAGTGGTATTAAAAAAAAAGTCTTATAGTTACAGTTAAATCACTAATGGCCTTCTCGTGTGATATAACATTTGATCCTTCTACTATGGCGTCTGATGAGCCGCCGCCATTTACACACCTTCCTCATCGTCATGGTCTCCATGTCCTCAATCAGGTCTCTTGTTAATGCAGCCGCCGTTGTTATCGACATTGTCAAAAGGCGCCGGTGACATCACCGGTCATCGAGGCTGTTAATTGGCCGCCTGCTGCGTGCGTGAGTTTAACCTCCTGATGCCACAGGATTTTTTTTTCCTTTCCGTCAGGAGGTGGATGTAGTGCTGCCATCTTTTTAAAAAAAAAATTTCCCCCCAATTCTATCGTCACATGTCACGTACTGTGTGTGTGTGTGTGTGCGCGTGTGCGTGTGCGTGTGCGTGTGTGTGTGACTTTTGTAACTCTATGAATTATTTATAGTGTGTGTATTTTTATGAGGCATTCTAGTGATTACCATGAGTGAATTGCTCGAGGAGCCATCACGTTAATGATATGATGTTTGACGGAGTATGCTGTTCACATTTTTTTTTTTTTTTTTTTTTCGCTCAATGTCTTTTGCCTGATGTATCTGATTGGGTTAGAGACCGAGGAAGGACGAGAACAAGGACAACAAAGGTCCGGGTTCGTATTAAACCGCAGCGATGTGTCATCATTGGGCCCACCTGCAAAGCGAACACCGACCCATTTCATGTGCTGATAGTATCCGTTGGCTTACCATAAAAAAATCTTCTGCTTTTTGTCTGCGTTTTTTTTTTTTTTTTTTTTTGTCATCTTCTCGAAAGCGAAAGGGTGGGCAGTTTTTTTTTTTTTTTTTCTTCCCTTGTGCTTGATTTCCCACTCCCACATACACATACATTCTCCCCCGTAAACACCTGCTTGGACACATGGTCTTGAAAATAGAAGAGCAGCTGCACAAGATGAGCCGCTGTGTTTTTTTCTCTCTCTCTCGCTCTCGCTCTCTCTCAATTGACATGCATGCATGCAGCCACATGAGCTCATTTGTTGTGTTTACACACTCGTTCAAAATGATTTTCTGCCTCAATCAACTGAGTCGTCCAGGCTACAGGTCACATGAATGGTGGAAAAAGTTTGCTCATCATTGAGAACACTCTTGGTCCCATTGTAGTAATCAATTAGAATGTCCAAAATCAATCGGTGTGTACTCATGTGAATTTTCCTTGTGAATTCAGTGGTATTAAAAAAAAAGTCTTATAGTTACAGTTAAATCACTAATGGCCTTCTCGTGTGATATAACATTTGATCCTTCTACTATGGCGTCTGATGAGCCGCCGCCATTTACACACCTTCCTCATCGTCATGGTCTCCATGTCCTCAATCAGGTCTCTTGTTAATGCAGCCGCCGTTGTTATCGACATTGTCAAAAGGCGCCGGTGACATCACCGGTCATCGAGGCTGTTAATTGGCCGCCTGCTGCGTGCGTGAGTTTAACCTCCTGATGCCACAGGATTTTTTTTTCCTTTCCGTCAGGAGGTGGATGTAGTGCTGCCATCTTTTTAAAAAAAAAATTTCCCCCCAATTCTATCGTCACATGTCACGTACTGTGTGTGTGTGTGTGTGCGCGTGTGCGTGTGCGTGTGCGTGTGTGTGTGACTTTTGTAACTCTATGAATTATTTATAGTGTGTGTATTTTTATGAGGCATTCTAGTGATTACCATGAGTGAATTGCTCGAGGAGCCATCACGTTAATGATATGATGTTTGACGGAGTATGCTGTTCACATTTTTTTTTTTTTTTTTTTACTGGATAATCTATAATTGTACTGTTCCTTTGTATTCTGCATGGTGGCCGTTATCATGAAGAACTGGCAGTGGCGTCCAAAGCACTGTGGATGCCCAGGGCAATCACATGAGTATGACA